ATATATACACACACACATATATATATGTATATGCGTATATATGCTTTTCTTGTGAATGTAAATGTTAATTCATGTGTTTATTTATATCTTAATTCATCTACGTATTATGTGTTTTGATACCTTTTTGTTCGGACATATACGTGATTATCTCTTTATTGCTTGTTGGCGATGTCTTTGATCTGTTGTCAGAGGTAAGTTCAAACCTACGCATGAATTTGTAGTTTTATATTTCATTAAAATTTTAGGAATAAAGTATGTGTGCGTAGACTGGCAATCATGTATTGTTTTTTTCTTCTATGCTGGGTATGTATGGTTGTATCGGTGTGTTGGTTACCAATATGTTTTGATTACAACTTTTAACATGTATGTGCATGGAATCACCTTGGCTCAGGCAATGCTGTGTATCGTATTTACACCGAATACTATGTACACCCCTATAATTAGGATAGACTATGTTCATAATCGGGTGCATAACGCGTGTCGTATTTAAACCGAATACTATGTATACCCTTATAATTAGGATGGACTGTGTTCAAAATCGGGTGCATAGCATATCAAATTCTTTTCTTCCCAAAATACCTTTACTTTTGCTGTAGAGTAGTATCGTATGTTCAAACCATGTACATTCATTATATTAACTGTGCATTGATATTTATCAGCCTCCCTTTCGAGTATCCGAGTGTACCAGTCACTCGCCGTCTATTCACAAACTTTCGTTATAAGGAGAATCGAAATCACCTGAATTACCACCGCTGCTCCTGTTTTAACATTCGTTTTACGCATTATTAGAATTTAAAATATTCCTTCGTGTAAGGGTCGTATCCACTCTAGCTCCATAAATTTTGTGAGTTCATCGGCATTCCTCACTCGCGTACTACCTATTTTGGGATCTGCTTCTATTACAACTTGATATTGCTACACTCTCGAATTGCCCAAATATATTCTTGTATCAGGATATAAACTTTCATTTGTACGCATAATTACATCACTCGCTCTGAACTGCTAAATAATGCTCTGCCTATTTTATAGCCTACTTCCATTACAATCTATTATTACACCGCTCGAATTGCCCAAATACATTCTTGTATCAGGATATAAACTTTCATTTGAACTCGTATTTACATCCCTCTCTCTGAACTGCCAAATAATAATCTGCCTGTTTTAAATTCTACTTCCATTTCAATCTAATATTACAACACTCACTCAAACTGCCCAAAGATATTCTCGTATCAGGGTATAAACTTCCATTTGAACGCATAATTACATCACCAGCTCTGAACTGTCAATTATACTCTGCCATATTAAAAGCTACTTCCATAACAATCTAATATTACAACACTCACTCAAACTGCCCTAAGGTATACTTGTAACAGGGTATAAACTTCTATTTGAACGCATAATTACATCACCCGCTCTGAATTGCCAAACTGTACTACTTGGTTACAGGATCTGCTTCGAGCGTTGAATGCGGCGATACCTCAGATCAATGATGAGATCCTGCCAGATAGAATGACACTCTCACTCGCGTGCTGTAGGAAGCGATTCTCGAAGGTATGCCTTCTTTGCAAGGAAACGGTGCACATATACAATGCTATTGCGCTTGAGCTACATGTAAGATATATATACACATACCACATCAGCTATATATATATATACATACCACATCTATTGATTATAGTCTGTGCACATACACACACATCTATTGAATAAACGGAATGTATTGTTTTTGCACATGTACACTATAACTATTGGGTCGGTTGTTTTTCTAGCCGCTGTTGTTATACGTCAGTATTTATATCTATTTATCGAATACGTATCGAATACGTCGTGTTTGTGGCGTGTACACGAGCACCACAGATATGATGAAGCCTACAGTTCAGTCAGGCGCGGCGGCATTTATGTAACAACAACTGTTGGCCCCAGTGCACTACATATACAAGCAATAGCTCTATATATCGGCCTATGCACTCTACACGCACTATACAGCTCGGTCGTATGTGTACACAGTAGTTCGTATGCCGCATTTCGCATGCAGGCGTGTACCCAGGATACAACACAAACCAGGTTTAAACTCCACGTCCGCTACTAACCGTATTAACCATCCTCTCTCCGTACAGGGTTCAATACTTAAGATAGCGCTATGGGTAGCGCCGAGAGCGCTGAGCGAGAGCGATATGCCCGTCTTCAACATACGAAGCCAAGGAGCCTCGGCCTCACAGACCAGTCAGAACCCTAACCACAGCACCACCTGGAGTATGAACGCCAGCGGAAGTATTACGGGCAGCCACACTTCGCGTACATCAGCCCAGATTGCTGCACAGCAACAACAACAACAACAACAACAGCAACAACAACAACAACAACAACAGCAACAACAACAACAACAACACCAACGGCAAATGGGAGAGATCAATGCACAAAGCGGGTCAATGACGCTCGCGAGCAATACCCTGTCACCGGCCAGTCAGAAGAAGAAGGTCGACGACTATCTGAATTCCAACTCCCAGGGCGGCGTGTATGCGAATGTGGAGCCGGGGGGGTTTGGGTCTGGGGGGGGGGGGCGATATATACGCCAATGTGACACACGCGGCTGTGCCGACGAATAATAGGAACAGTTATACCGGGCCAAGCTCAAGTACCAACAGCAGTCTGAACGGGAGCCGAACCATCAAACACACCACATCGATGGCGTCGCTGAGTTCGCAAGCGAGAAGCGGGAGTGGTGTTCTGACTAAACACAACACCGTGGGATCTACGGGTACGGGGATGGGCGAAGGAGAGTATCTGAACTCAGACCAAATCCGAGCGCTAGAACAAGACGCGCATGCGCACACGCACACGCACACGCGTAAGAAGTCGCGTGAACTGACCAACGAAATCACAGACCTGCGCACACAGCTGGCGAATAGGCCCAAGGTACCGTCACGGGAGAATGTGGTAGGGGAGATGCTACGGATACCCAAGACGCTTGTGTTGGCCAATGCACGTGAGTGTAGCGCGTTCCATGACTTCTCACATATCGCAGACCATGGCGAGCGGAGGAAGGTCATTGGGGCGATCATGCAGACGTCGCCGTCGGGGAGTTGGTTGCTGCGGTATAATAGGGAGAAGGGCGTGTTCGTCATCACCGTAAAGTATGAACAAAAGTAAGTGCCGGGGTGTGTGCGTGAATGGAAGGGGTGTGTCTAATCTGCGAGTGTGGTATACGAGTGGGTGGGTCTGTATGTTGTCCACGACGGCAAGAGTGTATGTATGCCTGTCCCAAGTGCTAGCTGTATAGGATGGTTGTATCCTATTGCGGCGTAAGTATGTACCAAAACACCCACCTTCAAGATAGTCTAGTACATAAACTAGAGTGCTCGATGCATAATATGGAGTACCCTGAATGTACTGTTGTTAAATTGGCTGCGGTGCTCCGCTCGTCGTGGCGAGGCTCTTCTGTGGGGTGGTATGTATCTCTATCCTATCGTTTTGTAGTATGAGTAATCATTTTCTTTTTTTCCATTCCAAGCGTTCTGTTTTTATATCTATGACATTTTAAGGCAGAGCAACGATCCTTTCATCTACATACTTTCATATATAATAATATAGCTGAGTGTTTAATGTATACACATCCCACTTCACGATCCTTTCATCTACATATTCATATATAGTAATATAGCTGAGCTTTTAATGTATACACATCCCACTTCACGATCCTTTCATCTACATACTTTCGTATATAATAATATAGCTGAGCTTCTAATGTATACATATCCCACTTCACGATCCTTTCATCTACATACTTTCATATATAATAATATGGCTGAGCTTTGTATACACATCCCACTTCACGTTATCTACTTACTTTCATATATATTAATATAGCTGAGCTTTTAATGTATACACATCCCACTTCACGATCCTTTCATCTACATACTTTCATATATAATATATAGCTGAGCTTTTAATGTATACACATCCCACTTCACGATCCTTTCATCTACATACTTTCATATATAATAATATGGCTGAGCTTTGTATACACATCCCACTTCACGATCCTTTCATCTACATACTTTCGTATATAATAATATAGCTGAGCTTCTAATGTATACATATCCCACTTCACGATCCTTTCATCTACATACTTTCATATATAATAATATAGCTGAGCTTTGTATACACATCCCACTTCACGATTCTTTTATCTACTTACTTTCATATATATTAATATAGCTGAGCTTTTAATGTATACACATCCCACTTCACGATCCTTTCATCTACATACTTTCATATATAATAATATAGCTCAGCTTTCAATTTATACACGTCGTGAAGATACTTTCTTGTTTGAAATAGCTGAGCTTTTAATGTATACACATCCCACTTCACGATCGTGTCGTCCCTTTGTCTATATATCTCCTCCTTTGTCGATCGGTGATTCCGATACGTCTTTCCTTCTTGTACACCTCTCCAGGACATACCATTTCCCCATGCACAAACCCGACACCAGCGACGGCAGCGTCAAGTACGCCCTAGCCGAGGGCGAGCCCCACCATGACGATCCCAGCACACTACTCAGTTACTACATCACACACAGTCTGCCCTTAAATGTGGACACCTGCCTGCTACATGCTGTATTACGGCAAGACTTAGAGGACGAAGAGATGAGCTCGAGCGACTATGCCAATATCCGGAGCTTGCCGAAAACATCCAGTAGACCCAATGTCCCGGAAAGGGGTGCACCGGTCCCAAAAGCCAAGCCCAGGGTGCCGATTGTGGATAGGTAAAGTGGTGCGATCTGACATCGGTGGTTTAAAGTAAATACTAGCCAAGGTAAATGAGTACATGTTCGCCTTTATCTAGCGATTGGCCGGGATTGAGTTGTTCCATTTTATTGGGAGAAAATAATAATATAAAACTTCGATGATCTGAGTACAATGTGAGGTAAAGTGAATTTGGTAAGCTTTTTTTGATAATAGATCATCGCGAGTCTTTATCAGGGCGTAGCACTTGCACAAGACTATATATGTCTAGTCTTTATCAGGGTGTAGCAATTGGATAAGACTATCTATGTCTAGTCTTTATCAGGGTGTAGCACTTGCACAAGACTATCTATGTCGAGTCTTTATCAGGGTGTAGTAATTGGACAAGACTATCTATGTCGAGTCTTTATCAGGGTGTAGTTATTGGATAAGACTATCTATGTCTAGTCTTTATCAGGGTGTAGT